TAGCTCTTATTTTTGTAAAGACTGTCCCTGATACCCACAGGCACTGCCATATTGCTAGAGTATTTTAGTTTTGTCTATGCTTTAATAGAGAATAATTCTAAGGTATAAGAAATTAATGTCAAAGGGATTTGTGGAGCTGGTAAAAATGTATTCTTGACAACTTAAATAGAAAAGTAAATTCATTATATTTATAAATGAAAATTAATGAGATGTGCGTTTTATCAGTTCCACTGCTCTTAGAATTAAGAAAGATGGTTTAACTCAATATAAAATCCAAAGTCAGTGTGTCGTGTAAATAATATTAATATAAAATGTATAAATAAGATATTTTTGTATAACACCAAACGATAAGATACAAAGCATACATCTTACATCAAACTTTAAGATCGCAGTGAAATGGAAAAGCAAAACACTTAGAACTTTCTAAAACAAGCACTCGTATTCTGTAGCTCGCAATAGCGACAGCGATCCCGACTTTAATGTTGAGTTTTTGTACCGCGCAATCCTAAGGTTGTGATGTCAGCGGGTAATGAGAGACTACATCAAAATTGCATGCAAGCAACGTGGTAAGTAAACAACGAAGCTTTTTTAGTTAGTTTATAATTAAAAATTATATTTTTGGCTTTTTTGAATTTCTTAAATATTTAAATTCTCTCATTCTGACAGTTTATTTAAGGTGCATTAAGAATCTACTCTATGCCCCTTGTCTATGATTCAATATTGAAAAGCGGCTACTTCACATAGTTAATAAAGTTTGTAGCTAATTTGTCCTTGTTTAGAGTAAGACAAAATGAATATGCAAACATAATAAAAATACTCTTGGTGTAAATATCTATTGATGAGCGTGTTGTGTGCATTTTTAATGTTTTACGAAGAGTCCACCTATTTTGTAAATACTTATGTTAACGCATTGCATTCTAGGAATGAATTAAGTAGGCAATTATTGAAAAGCTTTATTTATGTAGGATAAATATTTTGCCATAATGATTGAGTGTGCACTCTATGGTTTTTTTTGGTTCAGTGTTGCCAATTTATCTCAGAGATGCTAAAATTTATGGATTTAAATGTTGCTGTAAATTATGTTATCATTAAAAGTAAAAGTTAAATTAAACAAAATTATTAAATATGAAGAATCGGATTAATTTTACAATATAAAATGTAGATCTTTGTTTTGTCCATATAAAATATTGATCTCAGAAAATATATAAAGTTTTACGTGGCCTTTGCAGTCAAATAACATTTGGACTGAAGATATTTTTTTTAATAATTCTGCATTTAGTAATAAGTCCATAAATATGTCTGGGTATGTATGTTGTATTTCGGGTTAGTTGGAATGGATTCAATATTATATTCACAATTAAATTGCTCAATACAAAAGTATAAAAATAATGAATTGATCAATATACATTTTTATAATATGCTTTTAATTTATGAATGTAGCTCATTCGGCGTTTTAACATTTTTAGCTTCATAGCATAATGGAAAGGATATTATTAATGTACACTTAAATCAGGACTTATAATAATAGTAATAGTGATACTGTAAACACATTCCATTTTATAAAATTAAAAATATATTGTAAAATTGTGGTGTCTGTTTTTAATAATTTAACCCTATAACTAAGTTGGTTTTGTAAACATTTAAATCGCCGATAATGTTTGCAGGAAGCCGAAAATCAAGTCAAAATCAGACGATATTTATATAGTCAAATTGAGAGGTGAGAGGCGCTACTCCACTACATTTTTATTTGGCGAGATCTGCTGTCTCTGCCGGTGTTAGCATGAACTTTCTAGAGTTTCCAGTTTTCGTTGACATCAATATGATTGTGACCGTCAGGCTGGCTGACCAAATTTGATATCGCAATCAAACTATACGCCATATTTCTCTACCTATTTGATACTATTTGCTACCTTCAAAGACGCATTTTCTACCCCTGCATTAAAGAACATAATAAAGAAATTAAGTGGCCAGCCAACCTGACGTCTTAGAATCTTTGAGTAATAGCGTTTTTATACATATTTACTACCTATTTTCTACCTGAGCAAACAAAAATCATATCAAATTTGGTCAGCCAACCTGACGGTCATATATGATAGTTTTCTTTTCGTACAACTTTCAATTAATTGGTACAGTTTACTACACTTATTGTATCCTAACAATGCAGGTTTGTGTTGGAGATAGTTTCAAATACGCACATGGAGCGCTCCTTGAGGTCTCCACTCCAATCATTACTTTCTATTACAAGATTTATACGATTTCAGCTATCGTTCGGACTAAGAGTATCTTTTATAGTTAAACTAGCTGATCCGGCAAACGTCGTTTTGCCATGTATATCATTTATAATAAAAAATAGGGTTTGACCGTAGCGGGGTTTTATCTAAAAATTAAAAAATAATAATTTAGGGGTGGACAACCCTTACCATTTAGGGGGATGAAAAATAGATGTTGTCCGATTCTCAGACATACCCAATGTGCACACAAAATTTCATGAGAATCGGTCAAGCCGTTTCGGAGGAGTTTAACTACAAACACCGCGACACGGGAATTTTATATATTAAATGATACCCGTGTAAACCAGTAACATTCTATATACCTACAGAGATAATGTCCACTACACTCTTGTTACATTGAATTTTTAAACGACCAATTGGTGATTTACCTTCTTTGTCTTAATCCTAAAATTATTGGTTTGCCGAGAATCGCACCTAGGACCTTGTCATACTTAATTTAGGTATTCATTTCTTGATCCAGTCAGCCAGTCCAAAAATTGCATTTAGTACTAAACTTTTCAAAGTAGGTATAATTTGAATTTAACAAACATATTATGCCGCCGTTAAAGATGGTGATGTTTATATCACTTTAATCCCACCATGGCGTGCAACGTAGCGGTGAGAAATGAGAATTGTCGGCAAGAACATTTTCCCAGTTCTGGTGCTGTTTGTGCACAGATCGGTTAACGCCACGTTGTAACACCGAAACCCGCAGAGTGAGTGTTCGGGACCGCTCTATACGTGGTTCCTGATGGTAAATCTCAATAATTGATCAAATATAAACGACATCGACACAACAGAGACATTATATACAGAAATTATTTTTTGCACAAAAATATAAACGCGAGGGAACGGCATATATAGAAGGACAAAACACTTGATTCGTAGATACTTTGGTCACGTGTCGTGCTCGTTTCTTTGCCTGACGCGTTTTAAACACGCATCTCCAAGGCACAAGATGCTATTTTCCTATTGCCCATCATAAACGTTAATGTAAGATAACAAAACACTGATACCTTTTACATATAATATACCTCTTAATAATAATAATGTACACTCGTAGTATTACTAACTGTAAAAATTATGTATTTCAAAGATCTTGTAACAAACAAAGTAAATTAAGATAATATTTGTCACATCGACATCTTTCACGTTTTATCGTGCTAAGATAGTTGTCTCGTAACAAGCTCGTGATTTTAATATTAAACTGCCTTATCTAACCTTGTTGAAGATATGTAAAATAACACAATAGGTTAACTTTTAGCTATTTATTCATCAACATACATAATATCTACATTTGCACAAATATGTGTAACTTAAACATCAGTAAATGGTTCTTCAACTGACATAATACTTTTTCGTTTTTATACTCAAAATGTTTTGAGCTCGCATGTCGATTTATTTCAATCGCACAGCATTCATGTCGACACCTCTAATTTGTGAATATTTTACAATAAATTAGATTTTATTTAAAGTACAAGAAAGCAAACTAATATTTACAATGTCTGGAAGTTATATAGAACAGATTTGTAAAATAATATATTTAGAGGGATTGCAGAAACATAATATAATGACATTGGCAAATATGTTTTTTGATTGCCACCAGCCTTGAGTCTAAGAAAATATTGAGTCAGCAATATTATATACAGATTAAATATTAACCGATCCAAGCTTCCATAATTGTAGTAAGATTTCATGGAATGTTTAAGCTTTAAAATGATTAGATACAACAGCATTTGTGCTTTAATTTACAAAATGTGAATTATTGTAAAAAATTAAATTAAAATGTAATATACATGGTGAAAGTTTACTGTATATCTAGTCATTTCAACATTGCACTCTGGTGGTTTTAATAAAGAAATTCTATATGTTATTAAGTTGGCTAGAAACACTCCAATACAGTTACAACCTGTTCACTAAAATATAAGGCCTCAGCCATACATATTGTTCATAAAAATCTCCATAATGTGAGAATTAGAAGTGTAATAATGAAAAACTATATTTCATAATATGCTAAGACCAAATATTTGACAAACAATGGTCACCAAGATTATTTAAAATTAAATACATTATAAGTTTCACATCAATAAAACATTATCAGAAGTCCAACACTTATTTTATAATTCAAGCTTAAGTAGCTTCTTATATAAATAAATATAGCTTTAAGCACTGTAGAGAAGGTGTCCGCTTGCTGTAACTCCATTTAGGTCCAGTGCTTGCCTGCTGAAAATAAAAAGAAATATATTTTATTTTTCATAACTATTAGCAATAACATTAAAAAATTCAAGTTAAAATTTAATCTAAAAGAAGACATTCTAATAAGAATATTTTTAGTTTTAATTTATTGTGTCATTCTATCGAATTAGTAATTACTGTAAAGATAGAATTATGATATGGAATAAATAAATAAAAAATCCAAATAAGTGGACCATGTGAGAATGTAAAATACATAAAAAAATTATTGATAAAACAAAATTCTACAGATTTTTTTTCAACTACCATCTTTACACAATAAATTTTACCTACTTACAGTTTGCTTTATTAATTTAAAGTTTTTCTTACTATTTCCTTGCTTCTTTTAGAATAGAACATTGGTGCATAGCTGAAGTTTCAAAGCACAACCTTAGGTTTGAGTATAGCACACTATCCACTAAGCTTACACTGCTCACAACTTTCTTAACATAATAAATACAAATTTTACTCACACATAAGTTAATGCTTTCTGCCAAATTACTGGTTACCCATTTTGACCTTTGATGTCATGTATATGCCGACGATCAGGCCAAATAGACCAATAGCTGATCCAAAAATTTCAACAATAAGAATCTTCACAAAAAGAGCTGCATTTGCTGCATCAGCTAGGGCGGCTCCTGAGCCCACTATACCAACAGCAATACCACAGAAGAGGTTTACCAAACCTACAGCCAGGCCAGCACCAAACATAACATATCCAGCCATCCAGTTTTGTTGTTTGATGGTAATATCAATTAAGGGTTCTGTGTATTTCTCCAACATTCCCGACAATACGATAGCAGTAATCAGTCCATAGATAGCCACGGCCTCGCAGAAGATGACGGAAATCAAGTTCTTGGTTTTAATCCTGGGGGCTTTGACACCACCACCCACTATGCTAACTCCTGTAGTGTGAATTCCCATGGCAGCACCAACCACGGAGAAAGACACTGCAAAGGCAATACCCAATGTCGCCCACATGTACGGGGACGTGTTTTCCAGGAACCAACCAAGACTTATTTGCTCACCCTTTCCATTGAGAAGATAGTACATAGAAAATATGGGTATGATGATCGCCACCAGCAGCACAAACAGGTAAGTCATGAAGTATCTCATTTTGAGATATATTTTTGGTCAATTGGAGTTACTGAACCTAATAATCCCGAATGGGAAGGCCTTTTTTTCTCCAATTCCTGCCTTGACAGAAAACTCAAAAACGAAGGAGTCTTGTGATCACAAGATGTCATAGACAAAATTAAACTTACCAGCTACAAAAATTTATATACATTCAGCTATAGTCTCTGCTGCATTCTATAGAACTTAGTTTTTGATTGATTTATTCAATATTTTATAGTGTGTCAAGTACAATCGTAAATAAGGCAATAAGAAAGAGTTTTGTTGAAATTAAGTTAGATCTTATTTATTTATACTTCGTTACCTTATACAAAAACATACATATAAAAATCTAGGTTACATAAGTTATTAGCAACGAGCGGCCTTATCTTTTCTTCCAGGCAACCCTAATAGGGAACAATAAAAAAAGAAACACCTACAGAGGGTGAAGTACAAGAAGTGCATAAAACATTAACAAAAACTCAAACTCAAAATAACACCTAACACTACCTATAACTAAAATCTAAAAAAAATAAATAAACAAAAATGTAAAAGCTAATCCAAGGGTTACTTGAATCACTATTTAATGGGGGTATAGCTTTCTTACCTTGGATTGTCCACTATAATGTATAAGTTTCTATCGATGTTTTTCAGAATATGCTTGACTTTTAACTGTAGCGATTCTGCTTAAAAATGTTGCTCCACACGTTTTACACAAGGCGTTCTCATTATTTTTATCTTTTGTCAACCATGACGAAAATTCAGAATTTTGTTCCCACTCAGATCTATATTTCTGATCGTATTTGCGCTTCATTATCTTCACTACACATGCACACAGAGAGAAATAAATAAAGAACTAAAACATCCGTGGTCCCCAAAAGGGACCACATGTATAAAAATACAGCATGTAACGTAGATAGTAATACGAAGCTAAAGCACGATTAGCGAATTTGTTAGCATTAACCGTTCGAAAGAGACAAAATGATACATTTGCGGTAAACATCAGACAAAGACATGTGAACGAAATACGAACTAATGGAAGTGAGTGTTTCCCGCCAACAACAGCCCAAAAATATATCAAAATGTGTTTTAAAATGTTGAAAGTTTAAATGTACCAAAAAATACCAGAATATAAAAGGATACCAAAAAAAATACTAAATTAGTTACACGGAGCCCAAATTATACCAATTTGGTACTGAATATACTAAAAACGGTCACACTGGTCAGAGTGCTAATTAGGGATGTGAAAAAATAATCGATTAAAATCGATTTTTTACACGATTTTTGTATTTAAAATAATCGATTATTTTTACAATTGAAAATCAATCATAGTCGATTTTTCATCTGCCACCTCCCGACATTATGTCTGGTCTTCTAAAACCCGGACCTCGAACTATTAGGGATATTCGATATACATCGATGCTTACAATGCGATACATTGAATCCGTTTCTTTGAAGATGTATTGATATACTCGATGAATTGATGTTTTTTTGTAAAACATCGAAAGGATGATAAAACCAGTTAATTTTACAAAAACTCAAGTTTGAATGGAACACTATAATTTAAAAGTAAAATAAATTTATTCAGCAGCACAAGATTACATACAATTAAAAAGACAACAAAAACACTGCAATGTGCTACAGAAAAGGTATACACTCAGTATTTATCAAATTTCACCTAACATCTATCAAAACGAGATTAAGTTAATTTCCATTTTGATTATTCTTAAACGTTAATTTGTGTTTATAATCTATTGTTTATTTTTAATTAAAAAACCATGAAAACTAAAATATTTAGAGAGTTTATTTTGAAATTATTCAAAAATTAGGAAAAAATCGATTTTTTTATGCAGAATGTCACATCCCTAGTGCTAATGAAGGTCACGATGACGAATCGATCCCGCGTGCGCAGCTAGCTAAGTATCGATAACGGGTTGCATTGGGTGCACATTCCTACTCTCAGTGACAGACGACTGTTTAAAATGCGTTGACTATGTAATTTAGAAACAACGGTCAAACATTTACATGTTTTCGTTTAAAGTTTTATCAATCAATTAGGTCATATTGAACTACATATCTATGAGGTAGTTGTTAAAGACTTCTTTTAAAGTATACTTGAAATTTACACATTGCAAAATCTATCAAATCGACAAACGCAGCCAAATCTATGATTTGATATGGATCAGCTGACAAAATACAAATTGTCATTACTTACATTGACAAAATTGTCATAGGGCACAATGTACATTGTATCAGTTACAACACCCAAAAACAAGTTACAAAACCAAAATATTTAAAATTTAATTCAAAAACAAATTTATTGTGCAGATGTGAAAATTTCAAATGTAGTGAAGTGAAGTAATGTTATTGTGTTCAACAGAAATCCAATAATATTATATTTTATAATTTAAGCCACGTTTATCTATGAATTACCGAAACTAAATGTTTTCTTCGAAAATGTAACTTAAATGGTACCTCACACAAACATAGAATTATAGGATTCATGTAATCTAATAGTGACACCAGGAAGGAGAAGATGAAGTAACAATCAAATATGAAGCCAAGAATATCAAGATATAAAAATGTTGTCTGCGTACGCCAGGTTTATAGTGCGATACTCTTATTTCATTATTTTTGGAGTCGCCTCAGTTTCAACCGTTCTTACAATTATACCCCTGGTTTGCCGTGATCTACCTTCGTTTTCTGACCCCATTATTGGTTTTGAGACGCGTGGAACGGGATTAGCAAATCGGTTCATAGCTTGGGAAAATCTTATTGATGAAACAAGACCATCTCGAAAACTTGCAGTAAATCCTAAAGAAATAGAAGACCAAATACGAATGAATCTTACTTTTAGTAAAGTGTTAAAAGTTAAAGGAAAATATAAATTAAGCCATGGTCATAAGAAAGGTCGTAAAAATAAGAATAAGCTCAATAATAACACTGCCTTTGCCAAGACCTCATATAAATCTGAAACAAATATTTCTGTAAACCATGTTCATTGGAGTTTTGGGAAAAATATTTCATATGAGGATGAAGACACAGCATTTCTTAGAAATCATACATGGAAGCAATGGAAATCTTTAAAAGAGATGGAATTTACACCTAAAGATTACAGACACCATAATTATGCGTCTGGCATTTGTGGAGCACCAGTAGTTGATTATGCCCATTTAGTTGTTAAAACCATAGATGGTTCATCATTATTGACCTTTGAAAATGTACAAAATGTTTGCAAATTACAAAGTAAGTTAGTCCAACTGGGAGGGAAGGTTTATTTTGATCTTTGCCAGAGATCAATACAATCTGAAGATTTATGTTGCCCTATGTGGAGTATTCCAAATTACATTGCCTTAATTTCTGGTAAAAGCACTTGTGAAAATATAACTAAACAAGATGTTGACACTACCATAGATATTATTAGGAAATGTGCAGGTTACTTTCATAACTTTACTTTAATGGCTTCATGCAAAATGAATATTTGTAGAGTACCAAAATATTGCACTCAATATGATGCAGTGTACAATTTATTATTTTATCTTGTAGATTTTGATGCATTCGCACCTCAAAATATTTCAAATTCTTTTGTTAAAAATAGTATGCTTTTTCTACCTTTGCCAACAAGCAGTACAATATTGCCATATTATGAACTTCTTCAGAGTTCAAATTTATCATGTGATGGTCTCATTATACCTGCTATGGATTTTGGACTAAGAAATGCCCTATTTGATCTCTGGCTTATTCAAGATGCTTGGTTAATAGCTTTAGGTGGCTTCTTTGTTCTTATTGGTGTTTGGATCTACACAAAGTCATTATTACTAACAGTATTGTTATTCATTGCCATTGGATATTCTCTTGGTATTGCTTATTTTTTGTATGTTTATATATTTTCCTTAGATTTTTTTCCATTTATGAATTTATTAGTTATAGTAGTTGTGATAGGAATTGGAGCTGATGATGCATTTATTTATGTAAAAGTTTGGACAATGGTTAGTAAAAGACTCATTAAGGATAATATAATAATTCAAGAAAATGGTCTGAGCGATATTAAAAATGTTTCAAGTGCTGGTGAAACAATACTAGTACAAATTCTTGAAGAAACTCTTAAACATACAGTTATTGCAATTTTTATAACAACTTTAACAACAGCTGTTGCATTTTTTGCCTCATATGTGAGTTACATACCAGCAATAAATTGTTTTAGTGTTTTTGCGGGTACCACAGTACTAGTAAATTTCTTTCTAATGATGACTTGGCTGCCAGCTTCAGTTTTTATATTAGATGTTAAAATGTGTATATCTAGTTGTTTATTTTTAGGTGCATTTAATAAGGCATTAAATAGCATTGGAGAAGATATGAAAGTTATGTTGAATAGGTTTATCACAACTTGTATTATGAGATTATATGTAGGATTGGCACTTATTCTTGGGGCTGTAGGAGTTTGCAGTATTGTTGTTGTATTTTATTATCCAGGACTTCAACTTCCAGATACAAAAACATTTCAACTTTTCCAATCTTCACACCCATTTGAAATGTATGACTTTGAGTATAGTGATAGATTTATTTTCGAAAATTTTGGTAGAGATGTAGGTAGTGGGATGAAAATGCCACTACGATGGATTTGGGGTATAGAAGCAATAGACAATGGAAATCATATGGATCCTGCCTCGAAGGGAAAGTTAATTTTTGACGAGAGTTTTAGTATATCAAACCCCCAATCTCAAGTGTGGCTATCTCAATTTTGCAGAAACTTAAAGACCCAGCCCTTTTACCAACCCACTCCTGGCCCTTTATTACCAAATTGCTTTATTGAAAGCTTTAAGATGTATATGAGTAGACGTTGTATCGATGTTATTGATAAAATGAATCGGACCCCTTGTTGTGAATCGTCGCCATTTCCTTACACAAAAGATGTATTTGATTACTGTATTATTAAAGCTATGGAGTCTCTATATCAAACTCCACGTGAAATTTTTATACCCGGTGTTGCCGGACCTAAATTTCTTAGAAGTGCCAATCCCCCTGTGGTTGCCGCTTTTGTTGTTGAATTTGAAAGTGTCGTACCATATTCAATGTCGTATACCGACATGCATAATTTTTACGAGCAAGTAGAAAATTGGACGCAATATGAATTAATATCTGCACCACCGGGTATGAAAAATGGTTGGTTTGTTTCGGATCTACAGTTTTATGATTTACAGAAGACGCTGGCCAGTGGCACTATTATGGCGTTAATGCTGTCGGCCGCTTTGGGGTTCATAGTCTTAATACCGTCTACTTTTAGTTTTGTTGTTAGTATATGTGCCCTTGCGGCAATGATTTTTTCATCCACAGTAACTATAGCAATTTTAGTACTTAGTGGTTGGAAATTGAATATTCTGGAAAGTGTTTCAATATCGACCTCGGCTGGGTTAGCCGTTGATTTCAGTTTACATTATGCTCTGAGTTATACTAACACAAGTGGTACTAAATCTGCAAGGGTTAAAAATGCATTATGCACTTCGTCAGGTCCAACAGCTGCAGCCGCTTTTACAACTGGCCTTGCTGGTATATTTCTATTACGCTCAAATCTTCTACCATACTCTCAAATTGGGATGTTTCTAGCTTTAATAATGTCTGTCAGTTGGATTTATGCAACATTCTTCCTTTGCTCGCTCCTCCAAGTGTTTGGGCGAGGGTCTTCCAAAGAAGCTGTTGCCGATGAGAAAAATTCCGTATCTAGGGTCAGTTCCGTTTGTTCGGGAGTTCCTAATTTAGAAAGCCATGAATTGGAGCATCTAGCAGATAGTAATCGAACAAATATTACACACTCCCACAGTCCATCAAATATTAGTGCGACCACAGTGGTTTTACACGAAGATTATGATAATAAGGCAGGGAAAATAACAGTTAATTTACTAAATGACTGAAGCGTAGATTTATATTTAAAAATAACATTTCGAAGTATTATTTTCTACCTGAGATATCTTGCAGTATTATTAATCAAATATTTAAATGTGACAATAACCGCTGATCCAGTTCACACTCATTATTACATTATACTCGACTTTAGACCGTTCGTCCAGAGAAATAAAAAATTATATTTCATAGAGGCTTGATGTAAAGATATTCTATTCGGAAAATCACAATCTTTGCCAATAGTTTGCTCAATTGTAAACATCTAGAAAAACTTATTTTTGCTGACAAGTCATAATGTATACGCATCGTTCCATATATGTATTATTCTAATGTAACCTTTTTAAAGGTGTTTGTGTTTCACTTTCATATAACATATAGCACAAAAATTATTCATAATTGTTGTGAAGTTAACTATTTAAACGCTCCTCAGTATGTGATATTTATTTAATGCATATTAACAGTTGCACTTAATGTATGTAATTAGAATCTCAATGAACTACGAATTAAAAGAATAATAAACTTCATATTTTGATACAATATAAATTGTGCCATAATTAATAGTTCTAATGTCTTCTTAGTTGTTTAGAAAACTGTTTTTTCTTTAAAATGTATATTTTGATAGCTAGTACAGTGTTTAGAATACGAAACGAAATTAGAACCAGATAATTATTGTAAGTAAATGTATTAAAATAAAGAAACGTTATTTTGTTTTTTTTTACCTACTTATACTTTGTATTTGTTTATCATTGCGATATAAGGGCTAAAGTGAAGAACTCCCTATCTGTTAGAATCTACTGTTACATTGGGTAGAGACAGACTCATTTCCCGGAATTAAAAACTGCGCTGGATTAAACACAGGAATAGCAGTTATATAGATAAATGATAGCTGAAGAGAGAACTCTGTGAGACAGGGATGTAATGCTCGAAATCTAAGATTAGAATGATAAGTTATTTAACAAATTTGTTTCCATAAAATAATAGGAAATCTTAACAAAATATCCACCCAGATAATGATATTACCAATATCGGTGGTGAATACTTGCACTTGTAGTGGTTCGTATTTTATGGGTGGTTGTTTTCGGGACGCAGTGCCTGCAGCTACATAATCATCGATAAACGTGAAAGTTACCAGAGAAGCATTCAAATGTTTTTCATAGAAATAGGTTCTTAAAATGTTCGCTATGAATATTTAACCTGGTTTTTAACCGACTTCAAAACATCGAATGAGGTTTACCATCTGACGTGTAATTTTTTTGAAGTCTGTTAGACCAAAATAATTTTGCAGCAGTTGTTACCCCTACTAGTCCTACTACAATAGCTGAAAGCCAGTCACCAGCGAACGAAAAAGTAAGTCGTACTTCAAACCATAGGGTATTATTATTTGTAGTAGCATTCGTTTTCCGTTCTGTGGTGACTGGTAAGTGCTAACTGCCAATGCCAAGTGTCATGCCAACTCATTCGGGATTATCTGTGGAATTTAAATTTGAATAGTGATTCATAAAATAATAACAAATAAAAATAATTAGGTGAGTAATAGTTATTAATTTGCTATTATTTATGACATACATAACGTATTCCTATCTAGTTTTCTAATCCTCGTCCTTCATTTTCGTAGGTACCTGATTTTATCCTCAAGTTGTGCAATTCTTAGTTGTAAAAATGTTTTCAACAAACCCAAACTATAGCAAATTAAAGACTCATCTACGACTCTCAGTTAATCGGTTGAAATTGTTGGAAAAGAAGAAAACGGAGTTAGCTCAGAAGGCACGTAAAGAAATAGCAGAATATATTGCGGCAGGAAAACCAGAAAGAGCTAAGATTCGCGTAGAACACATAATTCGGTAAGTTTTCTATACACATTCATATTTATATTATTAAGACAATTTTTGCTGCAAAGTGCTTATTTAGTAATATTTTTCTGAAATCCAGGGAAGATTATATGGTGGAGGCAATGGAAATAGTTGAAATGTATTGTGATCTGATCCTAGCAAGATTTGGTCTTATAACCCAGATGAAAGACTTGGACGAAGGACTAGCTGAGGCAATATCGAGCCTAATTTGGGTTGCACCAAGAATGCATACAGATGTGCAGGAGCTCAAAATCATATCTGACTTATTGACTGCTAAATATGGAAAGGTATATGCAGAAGCCTGTCGTAGTGAGAGTGTGAATTCTATTAGCGAGAAACTGAGACACAAGTTGTCTGTTCAAAGCCCACCTAAGATACTTATTGAAAAGTATCTTATAGAAATTGCAAACAATTTTAATGTTGAGTATACGCCTGACGAGCAAGTTATGAGGGAAGAAGAAGGTTTGCTTATTTTTTTTATTATGCTCATCTTAACTAACAAGCCATTGGCTGAATTATTAATTTTTATAAGTGGGACAAATGTTAAACAAATTAATGAATTAAAAATAACAGTAATATTTAAACTTAAAACAAAGTTTTGAAATTTTTTATTAGACCTTATTATCTTAATTAGTCATACTGTCATGTAATAAAAGTATTTGATGTTAGTTAAGAACTACTCAGAATAATTGTAAATCTTTATAATTTCAGCTAGAGATGCAATGTTGATAGACATTAATGGACCCCCTAATCCACCGGGCTTCATTGGATATCCCCAAGCACCATCAATGCCACAGATGCCTAATCTCCCACCACCTACTGTAACTCCCTTTAATTATCCATCTGTAAGTATTAATAATTGTTGGAAAAGTTTGTATAGCTTCACATTGTAGTTTAACCTGATATATTTTTTCCTTCTTTCATATTTACATTTTCATTAAGAGCCTAGATTAATTTTAATGCTGTTTTTAGTCAAATTAAAAATGTATTTAATTATATTGGGAAATTAAGTGTATTGAGTATAACTGGAAAGAAACTCCGCCACACTTTTTAATAATTAAGGAAGCAGTATTTTTTAAATAAATGTTCAATTTGCAAGCCTATGTCTTATACTGCGATGTTAAAGATCTATATTGAAATTAATGCAAGTGTTTAGGGACTTGTAGGCTTAAGAAATGAGTTTTTATAGCCATACAAGGTGTTCAGAAAAAGGTGTGTTAAAAGAAAGGTGTGTTGAAAATTTAAATAAATTATCCTGGCCTAAAGATGAAACAAATCTAAATTTATTTTAATTACATTGAATACATTTAAGATTTCTGTACTTAACATTTTCATGGTTATATTTAAAAAATGTCATGTTCTGAGTGCTTATAATTTGATACATTTTCCTGCTATATTTATAGATTAGGAAAAATAATGTATGACATTTCATAAAAACATAATAATTGTAGATGCCATCTGGTGGAAAGGTTGGTGGTTTTATTGCAACTCCGTCTAATTATGGTGGACCCAGCAAGCCAATGTCATACAAAGTCCCCCCTGGTGTTGACTCCAAGACTTTAGACAACTCCTTTATACAGGTATGATATTAAAGATAAATATTCTATTTTTTTCCTAATTAGTTTAGTTTTTATCATGAATCTAAATTTTTTTGTTTAATCATACATTATAATGATTAGTTGCTAATTAAAGTAGGCTACCAATTATAGTTACTAGAGGATTGCTTTTATTCATTGCTTGTTTTTATTTAATAATATGCCTAACACAGAGGAATGCCTTTTAACAATCAATTACTCTCACTGTTAATAACTATTTCTAAAAGTATTTTTTTAATAATTATAATATTTTGATATAATTTACATCTAAAACATAAGATATTTTATCTATGATATTTACCCAAATCAATATTCAAATGTATATTGTATAATAAAATAAATCGTTTTTGACTCTAATATACAGTTAAATGTGATTAATTTTTGACTAAGTCTGTCATAAAAGTATTATGATTTCTATTAATATTATTTTTAACTGACACAGTATAATTCCTAGTAAATTCTAAAATAATTTACATCATCAAAAATGTTATATGTGATAACAAAAATGAATCTGGTTTTAGTTCTTTTGAAGACACATTTATGACTTTTGAGTTGTAGATTTCACTCTATATTTCCTTTCAGGAGGAAATGAGCAATCTTCCACCAGCTTATGACAGCATAGATCACTCCTTGGTAATACATTTTAATACACTACACAATATTATTTACATTCTAATGCATTTTTGATTTAAGTGCTTGTTTTATTGTTTGATTTAGGCAATGTGTTGCTATTTTACTAGAATCATTATTTTAGACAAAGTACTAGAAAGTATGACTAAAATCCCATGTTGCTTGTCATACAGTATTAAAATATGAATGAAACAAGTTTCAGATTAATAATTTTAACGACTTTTTCTTTACTTCAAACAATTAAATTTAAAATTCTTGGATCCTCATTAAGGCAAATGACAATATAATGTATAAACGTTGATAGTTAAAGCTTGCCGATTCATGAAACAGAGCCATAATGTGCCCAATTATATGGTCGTCACCGCGATAGATTCACTGTCTCATTGACCAGTTTAATAATTATCTTTTATATGTGATACATACTAGAATAAAACGTTTTCGTGTATTACATTCATAACATACAACAGAACATTTTTCTTATGAATGATAAATTTTTTGCAGCCTCCAAATGTCCCAAGTTCAAGTAATCCTCCACAGCCCCAACCAAGGACCAAACCGCCAGCAAACTATTTCCCGGAACTTCCGGAACTACCCTCAGTTCCGTCAGATCTTATTCTACCCTCGGTTCCTCATAGTTCTAACTCCAATGCTTCAAATGAGCCTAATGCACCGGATGAGATAGATTTCGAAGATCTGAACAGACGTTTTGAAGAATTGAAAAAGAAAAAGTAAAATGATTAGCTTTTTCATTGATATCTGCAAAGCGTTTGTTTTTTTCATTCGTTTATATATTTAATTTGTCACAACACTCGTTTATCAATAAATTACTCATGTCATTGAAGTGGCATACTTCAACCAAAACTAACTTTCTGTATCTTTGTATACCTTTAGTTTTATATACAATGGAGCAGACATATGATTACTGTAAATATGTTCTATTTTTTTATTTAATTACTTATAGGTTAAGAATATATTATACTGAATAAAATTGTGATAAATAAAAAACGATATGTATAAAATTCATTTATGAAATAAATCATTATTCAATATTGCTTTTTTACATTCCAAATGTATTGTTTTTAATATATTAAAATATAAGACCCATTCCACCATTATACAGTATGATTTAAAATCAATCTAGGCAAGGCAATTAAACTTTAATTTAAAGATCTTAAATGGTGTACAATGTTTCTATAACCCGAGTAGAGTATTTGACAGCTATTCAGTTTTACATAAACATATGCAGATAAAGAATTTGAAACTTAAAGTTTAAAGCAAGACTCAAAATAAATATCAATACAAATTAGGAAACTTTAGTAGTAATAACATTTTGAAGTTTAGAGATTATATGCATATGAAATAAGGTTTTTTATTTTGTTTTTGCAGGTTCTAAAATTAATGATTCAAAATTAAGACTAAGAAGCTACTGTAAAAACATAAATATTAGTTATGAATATTTGTTATATTTTTCATTAATTTACTATATTGATAAACAAATTTCCATCACTAAAAATGTATTTACTGATTTTCTGTATGAAGTAAAAGAAAAGAAATATTTTTAATGGCATAATCCACCCTGTAAGCTTTATATTTTAGGCACAGTTAAACTAAGAAGCTTTTGGATGCTTAATCCGGCCTTTAATTCTAACAAATTACGTTTAAAAATTATTTAAGTCAAATTTTATAAAAGCGAAGGGTTGCCATGACCAATATTTTTGTACCAAAATCACCAAAATAATCATTACAATTATAATTGGAGTGTGATAATGAAACAGTCTTGCTAAAACTATGTTGTTTGCTAAAGTCATGGTTACAATTCAAAAATAAAGCCGTTAATTTGGATAATACAAAAACCAATACAAAGTTCTGTGATTCTAATTAAACAAAACCATGAATGAATTACATATATTTTCATAACATTCTTAGCATTTGTTGTGAGCAAATATTGATTTTATTGTTAGGATCTGCCGTACTATCAGTTTTCATTCTGTTGTGTAGAGTCGAGTTCGAGACAATCTTAGATTGAATCATCACTTTGTTTGGAGATTCAGCCAAAAGTGTTCCCAGGGCAACTATACCTCTGAAAAAATTAAAGGTATGTTACTTCCTTTTCCATTGCAGGGTAAAGAGAATTAGACAGAAAGAGACAAACAAGGTTTAGTGTTTTGTTTTAATACTAAATAAACTTTGCAAGTATTTAAAATATCCTATGCCCTTATAGTTTTGATAAAGCTTCAATTCTTTAATTATGAGTAGTAAAGATATATATTAAATTTAAGAGATATAAGATTACAGTTAAAATAATTAAAAATCATATGAATGATCAGAAAAATTAGGTTTTCATGTTAATAAAAATAGTAATTAGTAAGAGCCCTAATAAACTATAGAAACATCGTAACTTAATATTTTTAAATGCCTAATTCAAACAAGTTAAGTAAGGGGCCGTTCATAAAATACGTTCGCATACAAGGGGAGGGGAGGGGTCTGGCTGAGTGTGACAAGGGGAGACGGGGGTATACGGCACCGTGACGTTCGCCGTTTATTATTTTTTGACATGAGCGCTAGCTTTGTGGCGCGACTCTAGCGACGTTGCGATCCGTCACAACTGGTTTCTTTGTTTTTCCAATACTTGAAGACAGTTAAACGTGAAGATGAAGAAGAAGATGGTGCAATACCGATTGTAGATATTTCGGCCCATTTAGAAAAAAATCCTTTGACTTCTGAATAATATAAATATTATTTATTATTTATATGTTCGTTATGAAAGATATTTATTCATATATTTAAATTTTATTATAACTAAATAAATATTTTTAATTTTCAGAATTTGTGTACTATCATTTAGAATTTAGCAGCAGGACCCGGGGGGTCACAGAATGTGTGACACAGCGTGACAATAGGAGGGGAGAGGGTCAAAAAAAGCTGTTTTTAGTGTGACGTATTTTATGAACGGCTCCCTAAGCAAATATTGGTCACCTAAGTTAACATACCTGAAATAAGCCTCCTTATCAGCAATTCTATTAAGCAGATGTATTATACAGTCCACCAGTTCTACAGTATCCGTTTGCTGGCCGAGTGCCACTGATAAGTTAAGAAGTAAAGATGCTGCCGCGATCTGTAATAATGCGTATTGCTATTTCTCAATACAAGATTCAATTAGTCTGAAAAACTGAAGCAGCTATAACAAAACTATATCCATCTCCCTTCCACGCCTAGACGCCGCTGTTGAGGGAGACAGATAATCGAACGCACGTTAACTTTTCTTGCGTCAAACTACTAAGAATATATTGTGTAAGATATGGATGAGTACAGTTTTAATTACATCAACCCTAAAAAGTGTAAGCTAAATATGTATTTTTAAATTCAGCTTTAGTGTGAACAGACAGAACAGAGAAAGTATGTGTAAAAATTGTACTGGCGTATAATTCCTAACATTTCGTAATATCAATGTCAATATATGAAATAAAATGACTGCAGCTGTTACAAAAGCATATCCGTCTCGCTTCCTCACCTGGGCGCCGCTACTCAATTGAGGGAGACAGATGATCGAATGCACGACGCTCTCTCTGGCAGCGAGCACCAACATTTCGCCGGGAAGATCACTGAATGCATTCACTAGTACACGCATTGCCAACATTTGGTTCGCTGCTATATTATCTGAAATATTATTAATTTTATAAATATGAGATGGAATTGATAAAAAAGGTTCCTTACGTTGGAATATAAAAAATAAACATTTATTTATTACAACAAATGAATGGAAACAATGGATATTTGAGGCAAAAAACCACGCCCTTCTTACGTCAACACGGTATGTGTGCGGGCCTATAAATTAGTGTGTGTGTTGGCATGTACCAAATTTAAGCCAATGTAACCAAAATGTCTTCCAGGCCATCGTTAAGAGCAAACATCTCGATATGTCTTATTGTTTCCGAGAATTTTGTTGAGAAACATACACTTACGAAATTCAGCACACGTGCTTGGAAGTCTTAAATAATCATTACCCTAATATTAGCTCCTTTAAAATAGGAGTAATGCTCCAGAACTTATAAGCAGATAAATACAATTATTGAAATTTAAAAAAAAAATGTCGTTAAAAGGTTTGTAGGTAAGAAATATTATTGATTTTAATGTCTAAAAAAATTACAAACCAAACCTACTTGATTTTGGTAGTTTTTTTTGGAAAAAAAATACAATAATATGTTATTTTTTTGCTTTTTTCATTTGTGTGTTCTTTTTAAATAAATACTTATAACTTTGACTTTATATCCGTAAAAGTTTAAAATGATTTTTTTATAAACTTACCCGGAGATAATAATGACAAAAGGTATTTAACAAATGTTGGTCCATACATAGTATCAAACATGACCCCGTTTATATCTTTGTTTCTGACAGCTAGTCTGGTCACATCCAATACGGGAAACAGAATTTCTGAAAAAAAAATTGAGTATTTCTAGAAAGACATTTTTTAAAAGCCTATTTTTTTTATGAAATAGGAGGCAAACGGGCAGGAGACTCATCTAATTTTAAGTGATACCGCCGTCCATAGACACTCACATTGCCTGAAGGTTCGCAGGTGCGTTGCCGGCCTTTCAGCCAATACGCCAACACTGCTCAATTTTATGAAATATAATTAAAACATACATACCTTTTGGCCACTCCAGCATTTTCTTTAACGAAGTTATAGTTTCAGGATTGTATGTACAATTCTAAAAAAAAAATAACTTTTGATTTTTAATTTTATTAGCTTCCAATTATGGTAAGTTTCCCATTAGAACTAGAATTTTTCACAATCATAACATTATGTATGTGTGAATAGGTGTATTTAAGATATTGTTCTATGACAATAAATCAAGATTTGAATTTTGCTCTGTCTTATTCACTTCTCGCTTCCTCTCAAAGCGGTGAAGCCTCCTTCAAGCCCCTCACATATCCGATATCTTTGAGATAATCCCACCCCACCTTTGGTTCTGGACTTTTGGACTCGGTCTGACCTTAGGTCTCTTGGTGCATACTTTCCGTACCTTTTTTCATATTCACTATTTATGTGTTAGGGTACGTTTGTAGGGCTAAGGAATCCGAAGGGTTGTTAGGTTCTTTCATCTCACCCTCTCATATATTATCTAATGCAGCTTGCTACATACACTACATTTACTATACAGATACTCATGATAGATAACACATAAATTTAAACACACATTTCACAGTCCGCTGACTGGCAAGCTGTACACAAAGAATATAGGTCACTTCATGCCTTACCACTTCTCCTAACTTGACGACGTCTTCTAGTTGAGCTTCAGAGAATGTGCTGAGACTATCCCCGACCTTACTATTGAATTCCTTTAATTTATCGTAAATCGCTTTTAAATTGCCTTGGTCAAATCTGGAAAGAGATAATTATTTAATTTAATCAAAGTATCATACATAATAATGCTTATAAATTAAAATAAACGGATATAAGCGCATTCTTTGATTTTCTTATTTGGTGATTACGTCAACAGTAATTATTAACTTTTTTACACATTGTCTATGCTTGAAAACGAAATGCATTTTCGAGGATTCCTACAAGAAATTAAGACGAGTTTGAAACCGTTATATAGTAAAATAACTGTACTATTAATTATCCCTGCAGAACATAAATAGAATATACATAATAAAACAAATGTAGAGCTGAGCGAAGCCTGCGCAGATACAAATAATGTTTAATGTGTCTAATAAATACTATTTCCTTC